CAGTGGTTTCATACGATAACTAAATTAGAAAGTGCTGAAATACTAGACAATCTGTCCTTGTATTGGTAATTATAGCCAAAATTTAAGCAATCTTTAAACTTTTGTTTGTTAAACTTAATGGAATGAACTTCTGTTATTGCTCTTTGAAAACCAGGTTTTTCCATACCATGAATCATTCTTACCACTGCTGAATCTTCCAGGTTTTCCAACAACCTTTTAAAAGCAGCACTATATTATATTATAATGGCTCTCCTACTAGTAGTATATACAGATGTGTTGTCACCTTTTTTCTCTCATTCATTCAAGAACTCTGCAACTGCTATTTGCAATGGATTGTGCTGAAGAATTTCCTCAATCCTATGTAATGGTCCTTAGATGCTGTCTGGAATCAGAATTTTCCAGGTTGAGTGTTGCATCACCCCTCTCTTGTCTCTTTGCCTCTGGTCTAGGACATGACTTCATGATTGTTGAGCAAGTGAACAGCAGAGCAGGAGAATACAGGTTTCTTTTTTTTCTTTCCCAGGCTAGTTGCCACTGGAACTTTGAAAATAGGATGGAAAATACTTTCCATTTGGTGCAGTAGAATCTAACCTGAGATTAGCTCAATTGCTTATAGCATGGTGCTAATAATACCACGGTTGTGTGTTTGATCCCTGCATGGGCCATTCACTTAAGAACTGGACTCAATAATCCTTGTGGGTCCCTTCCAATTCAGAATATTCTGTGAAATTTCTCTGAAACTTACATTAAAATTACTTTTGCTGTAAACTGCCCTCTCTTTGTAAGATATAGTTTCCTCTAAGCCTTCCCACATTTCTCTGATTATTTCCCCAGACAGTGCTAATGCTGCATTTAGGCAGCTGTCAAGGTCTTAAGAGATTACTGGATCACACTGATTTTTTTAAGGCCAGTACTTCTCTTTGCCAATAAGTGTGTGTTCTGGGAACTCACTTAAAGATGCTGATTTACTATATGCATCCCCTTTTACCTTGAATAACTCCTAAGCAAAACAGTTTTGTGGAACCTAGGAAATTGGTCAGAGTGAGGTTTTTCAGAATGAGTGCTGTTTTCAGATCTCACTACTGTTTTGTTCTCATCTGCTTCAGACCTTGTTCAACATGCACTGCTTTGCCTTCTGTTCTTCTACGTAATTTTCTATCACCAATGCAGATTTCTCCTGCAGTGCTTGCTGCTGGAAGCAGGTGCTCTGCACGTCCTCAGTTCTCTAACCTGTTTCAAGAGCCACCCCAGTAAACACTCACAGGCCCTCACTTAACCCTTTTCTTCTCTCCTTCTGTTACTTATTTTTACACAGTTGTACACGTTATCAGCCTGTTGTAGTAAGGTTTTATTTTCTCACATGCCTGTAACGTAGGCAGGCACTTAGTCAAAGAACATGCAAATGAAGCTGTATAACATGTGGTATTGCACACCGATTTGCTTAAAAATGAGTAGGTACAAATTATCACTCCATAATGAAACCTTAATTGCAGGGAGATTAAAGAGCCAATGACTTGACTTAGTGAGACTTTTTCCTAGAGAAAGGCAACTGCACATGGCATCTTTAGCGGAAAATACAAATAATATGTGTAAGGCCAGCATATGAAGAACCACCACAAGTGGGCCTTGCACTCCAGGGCTTTGAACTACCGCACTGCCACCACCAAAGCAAAAACAAATTGAGAGGAGCAGGTTCAGCCAGCTGCCCACAACTATGTTTACCTGCAAGGTAGTTTTATATGCTCCAGGGAAATCTTGTTGGCAGCCACACCAAACTGAAAGTATTTCCATACTTAACTATTCAGATATATGCATATGTGATAGAGGGAGGAGCACTGATCTAGATGAAGTCTGGGAGATTCACTGCAGAATTGTGGAGGGATTGGACCTAGAAGTCATGACTCTGAAGAGATAGGATGGAAAAGGGATAAATGGATACAGCAACACAAAGGGCAAGGGTGGGGAGGGTGCAATCCAGGGAGTGTCATTGTCCTAAAAACATAGCAACATTACAAAGATCTGTGCAACCTCAGTTTTTCAGATGAGTTAACTTTTCATTTTTTTTCAGTTGCTGGTGATTCAGGAAGAAAGACTCCTGGAGAAAAGGCATTAATTATATTTTTGTGAATCCTTCTCACATTCAAAGGATTGTAGTGCTGCAGTTAGAAGCAGAGCAATGTCAGTGCTGGCAGCAAGAGAGACCTTAACTTCACTCACAAAGGATAAGCAACCCTTACCTCCCACTTTGGCTGTTTAAGTAAGTGTGAATCAGTAACCAACTTGATTTGCTCCCTAGCATTTGTAAGTCAAGCACTTCAGCTAACCTTAGGACAGAAAGAGGGTTATAGCACCATTAGTGTGACAGTAAAGTATCTCATTTCCTCAATAAAAAGGCTATTCCATATTATTTTAAGCTACTTTTATAATTTTACAAGGAGTTGCTTCCTTTCTAATACAGACATTTCACTCCTACTCCTCACATCAACAATTCCTCCCTGTAATGCTGTTCACCCAGTGGTAGTCTTCAGTGCTGAAGGCAGATCTGCTTAGCCCCTTACTCACATTTTCTGACCTTGCTGCAAGATTTCAAAAACACAGTAGGCAAATACTGTTGCACTGGCTATGTTAACTCCCTCAGTGCTGAGCACTTTATGGAGATGCACCCAGCACATCCACTGAGTGTTCAAGTAATGATTCTTCGAGTGAAAAGTAGAAGATGCTTATACAGCTACACACTGAACTATTTCCTAAGCGTCTTCTCAGAATTATACAGAAAGGAATTCTGTTTTCAATCATTGTTCTCAGAGGTAACACCTAGCCTTCACAGGAAACTCAGGCACTGAGTCTGAAGTCAGGTCAGCAGCTTTCTAAACTGTGGTTTCTGTGTAGACTGCTTTTCTGGAAATAAAGTGATCCACACTGAAGACGATCAAAACACAATCTTGAAGAAAAACAAGAAGATCATGTCGCTTTTACAGAGGACTCAGCTGAGTCAATATATACTACTTGATTTGTCTGGTCTCTTGGGTACATCTTGGGAACAACCAACTCAGCAGGTTGCAGGCAGCAAAAAAGGTTAATACTTTTTCAGTTAGCAACCAGATGCAACTGTATTTTTTTTGAAGATGGTGACATATTTCAAGATTTGTTTAAACACTTTTTTGATGGTAAGCCTTTTCAGAAAATGAGTGTTCCAGACAACAGCATAAACCCAACACAGGTCTTGGTTGCATGATATCTTTCACGTAAAATATCCCAGCTTCTGTCCTTGTTATAGAATAGCATGAGAAATCCAGAGAGACACAGGCTCCTTCAACATGTGCAAGGCTTTGTATGCACAAATCATGCACAGCAGTGGGCATCACTGTTAAAACAGGTCAAACAAAAGCTGAAAAAAGAATAATCAGAAAGATGGCAAACCATAGTTTGTATTGCAGATGGCATATAAGGAGCAGCACCCTTGAAAAACTCATGAGGTAAAAAACATTTGAGAGAAAAGAGGACAATATGCCTACTGGCTTTTGTGGATTCCCTTTTTTCATACAGACATTTCCCATGGCTGAGTCATGCCAGTTTAATCAGCTCCCACATACAAAATCCCTCTTTGTGCTGTGTTTGCTCATTACTTTGCGTGCATAAGCCCCTCAGCTCTATTGCTGGCTAAATATACCTCTTGCTGGCTGGTTTGTTTTTGTGTGGCTACACAAAGAGCTGCTCTAGCATGACTGAGTGAACAACACAGTTGGAAAAGGCAAATGCAGGAGCTTCTGAACATCTCTCTGAAGCACTCAGCAGGTGAGGGGCATGTTCATAGAAGGATGACAGAAGGTAACCACCTTTCGCTAGGCACAGGAGGGAATTTGAATGCTTAATTCACAGTTACAGCCAGATTCAGCAAGGCAGAATACAAGTTGAGGTGTAGGTGAGGTCCCAAAGCACGCAGGTGTTCAGAGACTCAGCTGAACAATACAGACATCCTCTTGCAAGATGTTTTAATGATGGCAAGTTCACCAGCCTAAAGATTAGCTTTGCCACTTTTTCTGGGCACAGAATCATGTCTGTTTTTCTCAAACAGGGTTCAGAGCAAGTTGTAAACTGTCAAAGATTACCTGCTACAAGCAAACCCTTCTGCTCAGGAAGAGGTGCAAACAACCACGATATAGAACTAGAACCTCCATCCGGAGGACAGGCTACTACCACTAACCTAGGGGCTGCAGAGGGATGGAGGAGCTAAGAGGGTTGTATTTCTGAAGGCTCTGTCAAGTGCTGTGTTGGTTAAAAACATCTGTTGCATGTGTTTCCACAAAACTGCCTCTCCTGCATTTACTGATAAGTAATGTCTGCACCTGGAAGATACCATTGCTTTGTGGCGCTCACTCTCACACAACAAGCACTCCTTGTATAAACCATGAATGATGATATAAAACTGCAGTATAATCTCCCTGAAATCAGTCATTACCACAGTTAAACTGTTAGCCTATTAACTATCCTCAGGGTTGCCTCTGGGCTCTTAACTGTAGCTAAAACTGATTTTCATAGGGATTATACTTACATAAGGACCAGAGACAGTCTAAATAAAGCTATGGAGTGTTTGTTACCAGGCAGAACAAAATGTAACCATTTAAGTTCTTCACAGCATCTCTGGTACCAAGCTTAAACATCCTTATTTGCGAATGGTCTCAGGATACTTACAAAGTCAATAACTTCGCAAACCACTATTTTCCACAAAAGTCATGCAAAAATAGAAATGAAAACACTTCCTAATTATTTCTCTTTTTTTTAAGCTCCAAACAGATTTAATTAAAATAATCAAAAAAGTTGGTCTTTACTTAACGCCTTCATTATAAAAAGAACAATTAAAAATAAGAACTGAAGCTGTAACAGAACAAGATGAGTGTTTAACATTCCTGCAGTGAACTCCCTTCAGACTACTTTAGCAGAAGCCTAGCATTATCTATTATTTCTTGAAATCCAAATTCATTGTTCTTCCTGGTGAAAAATTAGACACAGCCAACATTATTGCTTTTATTACAAAATGTAAATAAATTCAAAAATTGTAAATCTCTGTGTACAATTTAATTTAAAAATTAAGTCAACTGACAGTCTTCTATGAGCTGATGTCAGATGTGGCTAAGGAAATAGATGAAAAAGATGAGGAAGAAGATGGTGAATATTCATTATTTGTTATTGATGCTTTTTCTTCATATTTTGGAGGAGATTCAGAGCAGAGGTATAGCATTGGTAAAATATCTGAAGGTGAGCTGCTTCCAGAAATTGTACATATGGTTTCATAGTCTCTAACAGCAACCATTCTTTCATCATCTGCAAGCTGTGCTCTATAAAACACAAAACTGTGTATTAGCATAATTCATTTATCTACAGTGAGTGAAATTCTACTTGACTTACATAAACATACATGTATGCACACACTTCCTAAAAATCCCTGAAGCAAAGAACTTGCACAAGAATTAGGAGTTCATTTGGTGGGCTACATTATGACTCATACGAAAATTCTATTATTTCAGAGAGGAAGGGCAAAACAAGCTCCCTTCTAACCTCTCAAATCACCAGTCACAGCCTGGCTTATGGGCATTAGCTGCTTTCAGCAGTGCTATCTCACAATCTTATTAAATTTTCTTGTGATCCAAAGCTCCTAATGTATCTTCCCTTTTGTAGTATATCACATACACACTGTCCCCTTCCCTTATGAAAGAGAGTTACTAGACTTAGAACTGCATCACAAAAATCACAATCCTGAGCCATTTGAGACCCCGCATGAAAGGCCATCTGAAACTTTTACTAGGCATTCCAGCAATCCATGACAGACATAAGGAGTCATATTCCTGCTCAGAGCCAGAGGAACAGAAGCAACCAGACATGACCAGATTGCAAAGTTCCCAGTGACATTCAAGGCAGGCAGCCAAGTATTCACTGTCCTCTTCTGACGATCACAACTGAATCCAAACTGGTTGAACCCACATTGTTCTGATACCCTGCTCATCTTGCCCTCAGCACATTGCTTCAGCTGCTTTCCAAGGAAAGAGAAGAACTCCTCTCTCCTCATGACTCGCTCCCAGAGCTGACTTTTGCCTTTGTGCATACATCTGTACCAGTACTGAGTGAGGAGCAGGAATACAGTGCATAGTCACCTCATCTTCAGTGCTGTGACTGATCGGTGAGGGTGCATGTTTAATAGAGAGAGAAATACTAAAAGACAAATGCTGAGGTGCTATGTAACAGGTTGCAGGAATAAAAAAAAAATAATTCTGGGATCAGACCACGACTCAGCTTACTACAAGCTTTCTCATCCAGCACAGCCTTCACCACAGCATTTGCTGACAGAATACCAAGCAATGGACTGAAGAGGCAAATCACCTTTGCCTAGTAGCCATCCATATATGAAATATTATTCTCTGCCATATTTGGGATCTTCAACCATGGCACTATGTTATGAGCAATGAGGCCATTGCTTCTCTTCTATTAAAGCACCTCCAGTCACAGAATACCAAAGCAGGAGGTCAGAGATTCTGGGTTTCTGTATCCAGCATTGAGGTGTTTTATCCATTCCACTAGACACTGTCTCAACAAAGTGCCTCTTTGTGTATACATGCTCACAAGACAGAGAAGTCCAGACAGGCAATCAACAATGCTGACCGGATCACACAAAGTTCAGAGCACCAAAACTGAATATTTCTGTGTTGAGACAGTTGATCCAGCTGGAGAGGATTTTGAAGAATTGATGAAGGAAAGAGAGGTTGACTGGTATGTCAGCTCTCTTTGCTGCTCTGTGCACCAGCAGGGAGGGCTCACAGAAAGTCTGAGGAACTAGGTTTTTTGCCATTCTCCCACCACCCTTTATTTGACCTTTTTCAGTGCAGGACGCACTCTTTGAGTTCTTTCACACCCTTTGATAATCCCTTTCCAAGCAACACTGCAGAAAAGGGTATGTGGGTCCTGGTCAATGAGTCACCAATGCCCTGGCAGCCAGGAGGGACAACTGTGTCCTGGGGGGCATCAGGCAAAGCATCCCCAGCCGGTCAAGGGACGGGATTGTCCCACTCTGCTCTGCACTGGGGTGGCCTCACCTTGAATATTGTGTGCAGTTTGGGGCACCACAATATAAGAAAGATATTGAAATCTTAGAGAGTGTCCAATTGGAGGGCAGAGAAGATGGTGAAGGGCCTTGAAGGGAAGTCGTATAAGGAGCAGCTGAGGTCACTTGGTCTGTTCAGCCTGAAGAAGAGGAGACCAAGGGGAGACCTCATTGCAGTCTACAACTTCCTTGTGAGGGGAAAAGGAGGGGCAGACATGGATCTCTTCTCTGTGGTGACCAGTGACAGGATCAGAGGGAGTGGCCTGAAGTTGTGTCGGGGAGGTTTAGGCTGAGTATCAGGAAAAGGTTTGCACCCAGAGGGTGGGTGGGGACTGGAACAGGCTCACCAGGGAAGTGGTCACAGCATCAAGCCTGTCTGAGTTCAAGAAGCATTTGGACAACACTCTCAGACACATGATGTGATTCTTGAGGCTGTCCTGTGCAGGGCCAGGAGCCGGACTCAATGATCCTTGCAGGTCCCTTCCAACTCAAGATATACTATGATGGTATGAATCTTGCACATTTTACCAAGCACATGGCAGGCAGCCCACATCTGAACTCAGAGCCTGAAATTGCAGGATAGAGAGGACTTGTGGCTCTCAGTTTGCTGCCCTGTCCTTTTTCAGACAAGTGGTACAAAAGTCACTCTCTCAGCTGCTTGAAACTCCGCAGCAGGTCCAGGTTCACACTCAGGACAAGTAATTTCTTCACACACATCCATTTGCTTTCTACATACATCAGTGAACATGTCAGAAGGGAGTTACAGCACATGCTGGAGCTGTAGCACAGACAGGCTCAGTGTGGTGCCTAACTCCAGCAGTAGGAGCAGCTGGTATGAAGCACCATCCAGCTGCGGATACCTTCACCCTGCCCAAAAAGAACAGTTGTGTCATGTAAATTTTCTTTTTCAGCAGCAGGAGCTTACTGGCTCTCCTATTGCTCTGTCCTTTGATTGCATTAGTATAACTCCAAGAGCTGATATATTTCACTTGCAACATGACAACAGGCAAAAACTTCTATACTGAACAAAATAAAATGTTTCTTCACACAACAATTCATGCCTGGTCATAAGAGCTGCTGTCCTCCACAAAGCACTTTTGTTCTATCAATTCTGACATCTTCTCATCCCTACATCTACTCTTGTCATCCTGAATTGGCAGGTAGGCACTGAGTAATCAACAGATTCTCATCAGCTTAGTACAAAAAGAACTCTCTCTACAGCAATTTAAGTGGAAAAGCAGCAAACTGAGTGAACCGTGTGTATAGCTAGGCCTTAACAGGCATTGCAACCCTCAACACAAGTCATCAACCTCAAGCTGGACAACCTCAGCCCATGGAAACCAAACACTGAGTATCTCTTTTCCCTAGGTGATATGAATATGCTCATTTTTTTGTTTGGGGTCCAGTCCCCCTGTGCACGAGAGTGTTATACTGGTAGCAAGGAAGAGTGAGTAAGGTTTTTGATAGAGGTGTTTATTCTATGTTAATAAAGAAGAAAGTGATTTTGACAAAAGGCAAAACCACAGTCTGGGTTGTGCTAACAGCAACAGAAGGAGACATTTGCCGTCTCCAGCACTGATGGGGAGAATGAGTTTGGAGGAGGGCACTACAAAACAAGATAGTACAATGCGCTTGTTGAGAGTGATTGACTAGAGAACTGAGTTGATCACACAGCGAAGCTGAACCTCAACAATCCACCAGGTATACTTCAAAGGATTGCTAAAAAAACCCCACAGACATGTCTGTACAAAGTGTGGTAACAAGAACAAACATCATTGCTAACACAAGCATCCCTTTCCAGTGGCATTTAGGCCTTCAGGCAGGGAAAGGGTTTGTGCTTGCTTGCTTCAAAAGGCAGATTAGCACTAGAGTTTTGAAGTACCATTGACATCAGGCACATAGTTGGTACAGCTGGTCATGGAACACACTCCCTTATGTGGGTGGAAAAATCTGGACTACAGTGGAAAGCTCTTAAAGCAGCAGTCCATCAACTACTATGACTGGATACAGCCAGGCAGCTGAGGCTCTTAGAATAACAGAATTGTTAAGCTTGGAAAAGATCTTCGAGATCGTCAAGTCCAACTGACAACCTAGCACCATCACCATTAAACCATGTCCTCACTATTAAACGATATCCACAGGATTTTCCAACACTTCAGGGGATGGTGACTCCACAACTTTACTGCGCAGTTTGTTCCAATGCTTTACAAACCTTTCTGTGAAAAGGTTTCCAAACATACAGCTAAGATAAACCAACCCTAGCACAACCTGATATCATTTCCTCTTGTCCAGTCACTTGTTACCTGGCAGAGGAGGCTGACCTTCACCTTGCCAAAACCTCCTTTCAGGTAGTTGAGAGAACAATACGGTATCCCTTGAGCCTCCTTTTCTCCAGACTGAAAGACTCCCACTCCCTCAGTCAGTCCTCAGAGGATTTGTGCTTCAGACCCTTCATGAGCTTTGATGCCCTTCTCTCATCTCATCATGCTCTAGCACCTCAGTATTTTTCTTGTCATGAGGGGCCCAAAACTAAACCATGGAATCACAGAATGGTCTGGATCATCTAGTTCCAACCCCACTGTGCCATGGATAGGGATATCTTTCACTAGACCAGTTTGCTCAGAACTCCATCCAATCTGGTATTAAACACTTCCAGGGATAGGACATTCACAGCTTCTCTGGGCAACCTGTTCCAGTGCTTTACCACCCTCACAGTAAAGAATTTCTTCCTAATATCTAATCTAAACCTACTCTTTCAATTTGAAATCATTTCTCCTTGTCCTGTCACTACATGCTCTTCTAAGTCCCTCTCCATCTTGTAGGCTCCCTTCAGATACTGGAAAGCTGCAATTAGGTCACCCTGAAGCTTTCTCTTTTCCAGGTTGAACAAACCCAATTCTCTCAGCATTTTCTCAAAGCAGAAATACTCCAGACTTCTATAACAAACTTGGTGGCTTTCTCTAGACTTGCTCCAACAGGTAATTTGGCAGCTCCTAATCCCTGAGCTTGGTGGTGGCAGCATCTAGCACATCAGCTATACAAAATGTATTTAAAGAATGGCTGCATGGGTAAGGCACATCATCTTGAGATGAAGTTGGCTTCACAACCTCCCTTATCAGCTCTCTGGTCATTCCTGCAATATCAAAGTATCCTTTGATCTCGACACACTGCCAGAGTAGGAACAAGGCAGACCAGCACAGGACATCTCACTTCCTCAAGCAGTGAGATAAGGGACACAGGAGAACTGAGCACACTGACAGATAAAGTGACTGTGGGTAGATGTCATGAAGGGCTTGGTGCATTCGTTCTACAGAGGCTTCTAAAATATGGCAATGTGGATATCATGCCGTTGAAGCACTGCTGCCAGGGGCATCTTCTCTTGGACAACCTGTGGAAGAAATCCACTCTAAGGGCCACTGATCTAAGACTTTGTTTTCACTTTAGACATTCTTTCCAATCATAATAAACTGGTAAGAATTTAATCCTCATAAAGGACATTTTGCAGTTTGTAATTTCTCTTGTATACTGCAATGTTTTAATGCCAAGTCAAGTAAGGTAGTTGAAGTAAGTTAAGTTATGCACTAGAAAACTTTGTTATGGCTAGTAGTTAATTAACAGTGACTATATAAGATCATAAATCTCAGATACCTTGAGAAACAGCTCAGATTTCCAAAGACAGAGAAGAACACAGCCTTACCCATCAGTGAAGATAGAGTGATATGGTGGAGGATTTTCACTTGTAGGCAAAACACTTGACATAAGACAATGTGTCACAGTTGGTGACATAGGGTCAGCAAAATAAGGAGGTGGTGGGGGTGGGAATACCATTACAGCATCACCTAGAATTAAAAACACCAATTACTACCTCTGAAAAACTGAGCATCACTGGTTATTTTAACAGTATCTTACAATTTGTACTTGCCACCTTTTAAGACAGAGTGCAATGATCCCACATACAGAATTGTTATATTCTAGGCTGTTAGAGAATGCCAGAGGTACATTCAAAACCAAAATCATTGAAAAATAAAGATGCAGCATATTCATAAATGAAAAATTTAATTTAGAAAACTAAATTTCTAAAAAAAATTAAATTTCTGGGGAAGGGGACTGTTCCATGTAGCTAAGAGACACAAACACTGTTGTCTGTCTTCAGAAACTGAAAGTGCAAAGCACAGTTACTGTTGGCTCATTTTAAGGGTAGGCAAGTATTTAGTTTTACTCACATGTCTAAAATAGGTCAGTCTAAGTTTCTGCACATCTACTGCCATGCTATAATGAAAGAATTCAAGTAATTAATGGTTCCGATGACTGATTTTGTGCGCCTTGACAGTTTCTCTACTGAATTACTTGCAGATCAAGGAACAATAACCACAACCAGGACTATTGATACACAGTTTGCTATTAAGTGTACTATGCAGCATATCTGCCAATTGCAACTTCGGAATTGAAGTTTGAAACTTTTTTTTAAAAAACAAAGTTTGTATCAGTCAGTGAGCTGGCATAATTTACATAAACATTCAAAGACGCCTGGCACCTTTTCTTCCTTTGTAATTTGTGTGCTGGGACAGTTCAGAGAGCATCAAAATTCTTGATTTGTGACGTAGGCAGTGTTTTCTAACGAAGTCACCATTGTTCCAGAACAACACTGAAAATCAGACCTCTACCCTCAGCCTTTCAGTTTTACTTTTCCTGACTGAAGTATAAAAGGAATCCACTAATTTCACTTTCTTGCCTTAAAAGACAATCTGAATTCCTTCCTACTGCTTTATCCTGGTGGCTGGAAAACTGACTTCAAAGCCTCCTGTTTCCTAAAGGTCACCAGGTTACAGGTCTATAAACAGGTTTGAATTTCATTATGAATTTCAAGTTCAGTCAATCAGATGACAGTCAAGCAATGACTGACTTTTAATTAATCAGTGAGTTTACTACAATAATCAGCGTAATCAGAATTATCAGAACAACCTACGCATGGAATGTATTTATTTGGCATTAAACCAGTGCTACATACAGAGTATTATTCTCTGCTAACATACCACATTTGCTCAAAAACTGTGCAATTAGCTGAGGCATCTTGCAATTATATCTCTGATGGACAGAAGATATGGCCGTAATTTAAAAAAAAAATACAATACACTGCTTATGAATCAGATTCTTCTGTTTAAGGAGTTAGAGGCTCAAGGTTAAAAGAAATCTTAAATATAGTCACAGAATTCATTAGACCTGTGATCTGCAGCGTCAACTACATCCTTTGAGAAAGGAATTGGGATTGGACTCATTAGTGTCATGTTATGTTGCTTCCTTTACACAGACAGTCAGACCTTCTTTTTTATGCCAAAGGAGAGGTTTTCCTTTGTGAGAAAGGTAGATGAACTGACCATACAGAAAACATATGACACAAAGCAACATTCTTCTGTTTTGGCTGGCTTGACATGCCAGAACTGACATGCCTAGAACTTGAATAAGTAATATTCAGAGATAAATAATTAGTGAGAAAAAATCCCTACTAACTCTCAAATATAAAGTTCCAACATTATTTACCCACCTACTGTAACGTGAAAAGATTCAGGGCTCTGAGGATGTTCTTCACTTTCACAAGATTCATGGTTGAGATTTAAGTTTTGTTTCTTTTTAACATGAGCTATCACAAAGAAACACAACCCAGTGAGCACAATCAAAGGTCCCATGATTTGAAGTGACAGGAATCCACAGCCCTGGAGGTTCACATCAGAACTGCCGGTGTGGTTGAGTTGTATGGTATGCCAACCAGGGCTGCAACCAGGAACCCAAATTCCCAGGATGCTAATTAGCATTCCACTAGTTAAAAACAGGAATCCAAATATGAGAAACTGGGCAAACTGACAGTTTCCATGGCAAAAAACAAGGCTGTACACCTGCTCATTTTGCAATTGTCTTTGTCTCATATACATCCTTGCCCTTGATCGTGCCAGTAAAACACAAACCAGTCCAGTTACAGCCAGCACTGGCCCAGCAGCCTTAAGGACCTCATTACAGTCACTGAAGGTTCCGGATGGGCATGACTGGAGAATAAAGACTGAAAGCAGGAATCCAGCACACAGCAACACAGTTCCAAAAACAAAAAGGAAAAAAATAAGTTTCCCATGCTGTCCGTTATTTCCTTCACCTCCTGGTGCAGGAACAGCCACTGGATACATTACAACAGAATCTCCTCAAGCAGATGAGTTGTTAGCATTAAATGGCAGCAAACTACAGTAGATCTGTGAACATGAAAATACAAAAATCAAAAGAAAAAAACCTCAGAGACTAGCTACATTATATTTTCTACTTCCAATTTTGCTACTCAGCCTTTATTGTATACTCTCCTGTACTTTCTCTTTTGTAGTACCTCCACTATGGATTACAGGGCCTAATCAAGTCTGCTGGTGTTAAATGCCAATACAAAGACCGAATTTGCTTTAGTTATACTTAAATCAACTGTAATTGCTGTTGCACAGCTAAATGAACTGTTTCTTTAGAGAAACAGTCTTATGATTAAGAAGACATTATTTTCAAAGGCTGAACATTTGGAACAAGCACAGGTTAGCTTTCCCCTTGAAAACAGAAAGCTACAGGAAACTTCTGTGACCAGCAGGGAGTGACAGCTTTTGAGAGACAGTATTCTACTGCAAATAAGCAATGACTATTGGACTTTTTAACCAAGTAAAACTTCTAATACATACCTTTTCAAAGCACATAAGTCTTGCTTCTCCTTCTACAGGTAATAAAGTCCTTTCTGTTTCTCTTCTTAAATCAGCTTCCTGTTCTATATAGTTGTAAAAGTAAGCATAGAGAAAATTTTTCATTCTGTTCTGAAATGACCAAAAAAAAAAAATCACCAAATCCCAAACCCCTACATTCTAAATACCATGTAGTTCAACTCTCACTGATTCCATAGTTAGAGTTAGTAAGCATAGTGCTCTTACACTTCAACTTCCCCTACTTCTGAATCCTTTGTCTGTGCTCCAAAAATCTTTTAAAAATTAACAAAGGCAGTTCGCAGAAGGCTTGTGAGCCCACAAGAGTCTAGATTCAGAAGTAAAATAGAAGAAAATAGAAAATAGTGTTGAGGTCAATAACAGCTCATATGGATAACAAATCTGCTGGATGTGGGTAAACTGCAGCTGGGAAAGCCTAACTGAAAGTTAGAAGAGAGTTCCATTCAGTGAGCTCTAGGGAAAAAAAAAAAGCAAAAATTCTGCCATTACTGACAAGGAAGTTTGTGCTGCTCTGACACTCTGGCCTACAGGGCTCAGATGAACATCTGTACTCCCCTCCACGGTGAATAGCAACCATGGAGATCTTGGCTATCATCCATCAAAAGCCAACTTGAAACACAGGGGAAGTTCAGACTACAGAAAAGAACAAGTCTCATAGATAAACCATGAAAAAAGCCGTTCCATACCAAGTGTAGGAAGTATCATGCTGCACTGTTTTACCACTGCTCATGCTGCACTGTTTTACCAGTGCCCTCTTCCCCTTACCAGCAGTCTCCCATGACAGAGAATTTCACCTATGACTTAGATATATGAGGAAGGATATATATAGGGACTGGTGAAGTTTGTCACAGATGGAAGCAGGAAATTGACTTAGTTACTGCTGTTTGTTAGTTAACCTTCAGCCTTTTCTCTACCAGCTTCCACTGCCCTGCTACTAATTCAGATGACTGGAAGCTAAAACACAGTCCGATTAGATTGGATCCTCCTTACATATGCCTCACCAACAGTTATTCCACAAGAAAAACAAAGTATCATTATGAGATTTCTGGAAGCAAACTGTTGAACATGCGTCAGCCACAACATGCTTTGTGTCACTCCCCAGTAACTGCAGCGCCCCACTGGGATGAAAACAAAACACAACCATAAAACCCCCTAGTCACTCAAATACATAATTATTTATCTGCAATGCAAGGCAATCTTAGCCACTTGTAAGAGCAGAACCCAAATAAAGAATTGGCTGAGCAGACACACGAATGATGAAGTTACAACAGGTTTTACTGTTGAACATCAAACGAGGTCCACCAACAGCACAGGAGAAGGCAGAGCATATCATGCAGTTAAAAGGCACAGTAAGCACAAGACTTGACAGATAAGGAAACACAGCAAGAAGGCCACTGCAGGAAGCAACAAAATCTCCTATCTGGCTATCTTGAATAGTAAAACTGAAGGACCTTCCCTTAATGTGTTCCACTACTGTGATCAGTTAATTTGTAAACTATGTCTGCAAAGTGATTCTTCAAGGTTCTGAATTTAGTCTAGCCCTCTACTAAGATTGGTCTGAAAAACTGCTAACTGAGGTTCCCTTGGTAGAAGAGTCAGATTTACACTGGGGAAAAAATGGTTATAAAGAGCACTAAAGATAGGACATCTTGTCACAAAAAAAAAAGAAATTACAGAAACTCTGATTGATTTCAAATGGAAGACCTTTACCTCAGCACACTTTCAATACTCCATGAGCTACAGTCAGTCTGAAGGCTCTTCTTCTGAGCAGAGAAAATGGATTGGGTTAGTCACTCTCCCTTCCTTGATTACAGTGGTCTTTCCTAAATTAATAAAATTGTTTCTGATAACTGCATATGCTCTTTCCTGTCTAGAAATTTTCCCTATTCTCATAAGTTACCCGAGGTGGCTGAGATTTACTGACTTACCAACAAATATACAAAGCTGACTAAAGGGCCTCTGAAACACACACACAAAAAAAGAACACCACCAAAAAAAAAAAAAATCCCAACAAAACCCAGTTCCAGACACAACTGTCTTGAGATATTTTTCTGCTGAGGCACATTAACCGTTATAACAACACCACACTATAATTAGACAGAACTCTAAAGCCTTTCTTTGCAGTTCCCTCTAGGGAAGAAAACATAGACATAAGTACAAGTAAATTAGGACAAAAGAAAAAATGTGAAAGGGGGAAAAAGAAGTAAATACAAATGTATAGCCCCGAAAAAGAAAAATCTAGAGGTTTGTTCTCATTACTCCAACACAGCGTCTGCTTCTCTTTCACCAATCTTGTTATGAGATTAAGTTAAAACACACATTAGAAATTAAGCATGTGCATATTTTTTCAATTCTTTCAGGCCACAAAAGAAGGAACATTTAGAACAGTCTGTTGTGGCTTTGAAGATGAAAGCCACAGATTCTGTGCTGCAAAATCCAAGAGAGGACTAATTTTCATTTACACTACCATGAAATTTAAACAGAAAACCTCATGCAAGATTAAGCTTTATTTCTTGTGTTTCAATAAAAAGTATCTTAACAAAGAAGTAAGCCTTAAATTGACTGTGTGCTTGAAATATTTCCACTAGATCTGATATCCCCACAGGCATATTGATATAGGGGAATTTACCCTTTGGGGAAAAGGGAATTGGAAACATAGCTGGTAATGGAAGTCTGGTTATAAGCTTAACTTAAATGATATAGTGCTTCACCTTTTTCTAAGTCAGGCCCATGCCAGGTATATGGAACAGGAAATAACATCACAACTTCTTGCCATTTCTGTGTATAACAGTTGTATTACAACTTTCACATTATGGGCAACTTCAAGAATTTGAAAACATTTCTGCTACAATTCTTCTTCAGCCTTCAGAGGACAAAAAAGTCCTATTGTCCAAGATTTCCACTGCAAACACCAGAGCTATAAATTTACTTTCCTCTTACTCATATGAAATTTGATAGCCTCATGCAGACATTATGAATTCAGGAACACAGAATTAAAAAGAAAAAAAAAAAAGCATTGGAAGAATTACAACACTGCTAACCCTCTGTTTTATGCTTCTCAGACTAGGCCCAGTTCCCCCTCTTTTTGCTTGCAAAAGCACACAAATACTTTCATGCAGAAGGATCAGGTCTAGTCTGTATTGCTATTTCAAAAACTATAATACCCTGTCAGTTGTAGTCCACAATGGAAATCCCAGTAGAATTTTCAAGCCATCCTTTTCAAGGACTTCAAACTTTGGAAAAAGTGGAAAGCTTGAACTGCTATTGGGAAGTTGCCACTGCGTGATTATTTTCTGTCATGTCTTATTTTATTTTTCTTCCCAGGTTTCAAATTAAATCACGATTCCTTATAGGTCAAGCTACCTGTAAGGAAAAATTCTCTCAACTTCATTCAGTTTAACTTCCATGTCAAAACATGAATGGCTCCCTACTTCTTCTCATTCCCTATGCCTAATTTCCTTCTTTGTTCTCATCTGCCTCTGTACCCACACAATTTTCTGTTCTTTACACACACAGAGTTTCCCCCTGGACTGGACTCTTAACCTGACATTCAGCAGAGACACCCATCAATGAGTACAGCTGATTAAACTAAATTGGAATGTGCAACCTTCATCCCCACACTCTTCCCTCTCCATGGAGGAACTTATTTGAAGAACCAGGGGGAGATGCCCAAAGGATGTACTTTCAGTTTTCTACTTTCAAGCAACATTAAGACTACATACTCTAACAAGTTCTGAGATGTCAAATACATCCAATTTGATCTCTTATGTATGCAGTCTCTAATCAGTGCTTGACAATGCTCTTACGTCACAGAATATACAACTCTGATATCCTAGGAGGAAGATTCTAAGATTTAGACACTGTGTGTAAAGATTACTAACGAGGGAAACTCTGCCCATTCAGGTTGACAAAATCATTGTTTCAGCTCACAGTATAGGAAGGGTAATGCTGTGCTATGATTTATGACTTGCAGGTGGGCTAGGAGTCAGTGTCTAGAAAAGTGCTAGAAAACAGCTGCAGCAGGAAATTCCAGAAAGTGGGATCCTGCCAGTCTCCAGACACATGTGCCCCCGGGATCCTTCTCACCACAAACCAGAACTGTCAGGGATTCTGATCTGTGCTAGAAAGAACAGCATTCTGCAAAGCTGCCAACTCCTGTCCCTTTGGGCTTCAAGAGAAAAGCAGCTACAGTAAAAGCTAATCCACACATGTTCCTCACTCACTTCATCAGGGAAGAATACTGATGCCACAGCTGGATGCAAAGATGCCAAACACAATGAGGAGCTTGCAAAACAAAGCTTGGTAACCTGTTGGTTGGATGCCATGCAGGCAACTAGGACAGCACCTGGATTCAAAAATTAGCTCTGAACGGTTCCATGCTTGTGGGTGGGATGCTTTTTACATGACACACTAGTGGCACACAAGAGCCGTGGCAAAACATCTCCTATTTTCTAGAGTACCTGCAGGGAGACTGGGGAGAAGGCAGACACAGTTAAAGCCAGAGCTGACATTTTTCAAAAAGGTAACACAAGACAGATCATTTATGGGAATTCTGTCCCATAGGGCTGATGTACCTCAAAGTAGCAAAAGGCACAAGACAAAGAGACTTACAGATCTTTGGTGCACAGGACAGACCAAGGAGACCATCAGGGAGACGTAGGGCTCCAAAAGCTACCTGAAGCCATCCTGCCCCAGCTTCTTGAGGCTGGCCTGGGGCATTAAGCCACAGACAACTTAATGGACAAGCAAGTAAGCTCTACTCCATCTAGGAAAGGCAGCATTCCATGGCACACCCCTCCTCATGCAGCAGTGCATCAGGCATGCCCTATTCTAAGTCAATTGGTGTTTTAAGACACACTAAGGTCTTCAACAGGATGGACCATGTCCCGAAAGTTCCCGTACATCATTCTGGAGCAAGGAGTAGGGCAGGGCAGCCTGTCCACCACCTCTCCGCAAGGGAGCAGCATCTGAGCCTCCTCACCTGTGCACTCCCAGTCGCATGCCAGCATCAGCCACGAGAATACTGTGTGTCAGCAGAACAGATGAAGAGACCCCTTCAGAGATATTCCATCCTTTCACAGAGACGGCGTAAAGCTCACTGTGGAAGCAGTGTGGGGAGCCGTGGGCTCTCCAGGGAAAAGACCGGACACTTACGCCCCTGGTAATTCAGACGCCGGCTGGGGGCAGCTGCGCTCGCACCCTGCAGGAGAGTGAAAACACGGGAATGGCGGCGGCTGGGAGACGCGGCACGACCCCGCTCGCCCGCCGCGGCCCCTCACCGGGGGCAGACGGAGGACGAGCCGCCCTGGCGGCGCCCGCCCTCCGCGGCCCCTCTCACCGCGCTCCCGGGCTGCCCCCACACCCGGGACGGACCGTCCCCAACACCCCGAGACCCGGCTTTCCCCAGCCCGCCCCGCCGTGGCGGCACAGCCGCAGGGCCCCGCGGCCTCCCCGGGCGGCGCGGGCAAAGGCGGCCTTGCCCACCCCCCCCTTACCTTTCCGCGGCGCGAAGGACGCGGCAGCGCAGCCGGCGCCGCTATTTAAGCACCTGCGCCCAGCAGCGCGGGGCAGGGCCGGGCCGAGCCGCCCGGGGCAGCGGCGGCGCAGCAGCACCGCCTCCCCTGTGCCCAGCGCCCCGCCCGGCGGCGGCCCCGGCCGGCCCGGAGGGATGGCGGGGTCCTCCCGGCGGGCTGCGAGCCGGTCCCGGGGCGGTGCGGGTGTGTACGCTGCCCGGCTGCGACATCGCCAGGGTGATGTGCCGGAGCACGGGTGCAGGTCGCAGGGCAGGCCTGTGGCAGGCACCGCTGGAGTCTTGTGTACGTGGAAGGGTCTCGGGTGCCCCTGAAATACAGTGGCTTCGAGGTAAGGTAGGTGAGCAGCCCTCTGAGGCAGATAGTGCCACGTCTTCCGCTTCAGGAGCCCTTCTTTTTGTCGTCACTTTAGACTTACCAATGTTTGACTTACTTCGGCACACTTGGGAACTTGCTAGGCATTAAAGACAGGCGGAGCCTAGATATGACAGTTTTCTTTCAGTGTAGCCACTGGAAATGGGAGAAGATTCCTTCTTGCTAGGTATAGGCAGCATGGAGGAAGAAGCTGGCTTTGGAAGTTGAGGCAAGAGAGCTGTGACATGTAATAAGCAGCTGTGTGAGAGGACAAGGAGCCAGGGAAGAAAGACCACTTGTAAGTGGTGTAGCAGCGGTAGGACACTGGGTGAATGACAATGGGACTAAATCTTGCCCAGCTAGTTAGTAGCCAGTGAGGTCTGGGGGAAATAGTTTGGGTTTATGCAAGTCAAAACAAGATGAGCCAGAACAGGGATAGAGTGATGCCCAGGAAATAGATGTCAGGAGGAAAGGAGAGTGGATTAAAGTCTTGCTTGACAGGGAGGTAGTTTGGCTACATGGTAAAATTGGGAGGAAAAGTATGTATAGGTTTTTGAAGGCAATCTGGATTTGGGTAGAGAACTAGGCAAAACTTGGAATTGAATTGATAACCAAGAAGCGTATGAAAATATACATTGGGTGTAGGAAGGAGCTTGTAATGGAGTAGAAGACTTCAAGCTTTCCAGAGCTGTATGTTCCTGAGTGTTAGTGACCCTTTGCTGTCTCAACTGTTTTATGTCCCGACTCAGCTACCACTGACTGGAAGGTGACTTCAGTTGTGAAACACTTCTGATACTGCTGTGAAGGGTCTCATGGTAAGGAGAGACTGGGAAGTAACAATTCTTGTGTTCTGTAGTGAGGAAAATATTTCAATGAAGAAAAAAACAGGGCATTTAAAAAAAGCCTGAAGAGAATGAAAGAAGATCGGCTCTGCTTGTTAGAAATACAAGATGAAGATTAATTGTTGCAAAGAGTGAGAGAGCATCAGAATATAGAATCAGACTATTTTATGATGTCTGACAACAGTGACATAAGGAGATTTACTTACGTTCATATGTCAGTTTCCTAATACCTGATTCTGGTTCTCTTGTTTTTCCAATATAGAGCTTAAATAATTAATAAAAACATTTCAGTATGAAGTACTTTGTCAGGCCAAACTTCCTTCAGTTGTCTGATACTATTAAACTATCGCTGCTGTGATGTATGTTCTGTCTCTTTTGCTGTTATATAAACAGTTTTTTCATTTTATGTAAATACTTCTTGTACCAAATCTAACATGTCAAGAATTTCAATTTAAAACCAACAACAGAACAAAACCAAAAAAGGTCACTCTTAACAAAAGTTAACAAGCTTGTTGGCTAATATCTACCCAAAAATGATTTCTCTCTCCAAAGCTTGTCATCAGCCTTTCCCCTCCATCCAGCACTTGGGTTTCTTGTGTGTTCTTGCAGTGTTGGGCTTATGGATTTGATCCCCATGATGAAAGAAGAGATTTCAGGAACATCAGTCTTCAGTTCTTGAGATTCTGACTCAACCTGGTATGAGTTCTGAGTGGATTAAGGGGCTGTTGATTCCTGTCATGGGACTGCAGTCATAAAAGTGAAATCTTGAGCCATATCCTGTGATTTAAGATAGGAATTATTTTTTAACTATATTTTTTTAAACTTTTAACACAGTAACTGTTTAAGTACAAATAATGAGTATTTTAATTACAAAGTGTAAGTGGTAATATTTCACAAAAATGGAATCACATTATGTTTTGCAATACAGGAAAATACTGAGAGAGTTGTTTGTGTTAAGTCTGGACAGCATTGTATAACAGTAGTTTTTGGATGGTAGTGGTAGTAGAGAAAATTAAGTATTTTTGACTGGCATGGAACACAATCCTACAGCTATGGAAAAGTGCAGTACATTCATAGCTGGAGTATGACAGGGAATCCAGAACTACCAGAAAGTCATTGCTTTTGAAATTATTTCTGGGGTCGCAGTCAGTAACACTTGTGAAGACACTGACAAGAAGAATACCATTTAGGATGATGAGCAGAGAAATACAGTGGTTGGTGATTTATTGACTGGAAATCAGTTGAGGCTATTCTGATGGAAGCCACTACTTAAGGCAATAATCCGATGAAATAGAAATGAAAATTACTAACTTCTCATTCTTTTTTTTTAAATTGAGCAAACATGCTTATAAGTGTTTTAATTGTTTGAATTGTTTGACTAAAGATGATGCTCTCTACAAATGAGGGCACAAGTGCAGTAACTGACTAAATGCTGGTCACTTCTAGATTAAAATTCCACTGTGCAGAAGAGATGTTAATCTGTTGTGAGCAATATGAGATGCGTCAATAAAACCACAGCTGTTGAAATTAGACATGCGAAATACTGGATGTGCAGAGATTGTGCTTCAGTTCAAAACATTAAGCGTGATCTGCAGAACCTTTTCAGATGCTTGAAAACACAGCAAGAGAATCCAGGCTGTCCTAAAGTGTCCTGGTAAAAATGTAAGTACTAAAGAAATACCTAGTGTTTATAATTTACAGCACACTTTGAAGCTTTGTACAACATCCCTGAGTCAAGGCAGATGCTACTTGCTTTGTTTCAGTCACAGCTAACCTCTTGTTAGTATGCTTTGAAGCAAGAGCTGCTGAAGAGTGCATGGAATAAATGCATAGTAAATTTTAACTTATAAATTGCTACTTGCTTGCTGTGATGGTGTGGACCAAATGAGATGATGATGCCGAAGTCAAGAGTGACCCAGTTCTCCAGCTCCCATTAAGTTCTGTACATCCAGTTCACAGCAAACAGTGTGCATAGAAACTGCAAAGCTCAGTTGAATAGCTAAGAACTGTGTGTTTTGCTTTATTTAGGTTCTGGTAGAGTCAAAAGAGCTATACTTAGAAATACAAGGATATAAAATGTTTGTTTTATTAGAATTGTCAATTGTCAGAAGTGACAAAAGCATTGCTGTCAACATTCAGTAAGCTTTGAACCAAACTTAATTAACCCTGAAATAGTTCTCTGCAGTTTGGCAAATAGCTACAAAAGAACCACAGAAAAGAGTATCATGCAGACTATACTGGAAGGGAGGGTGAATGAGGTACTGGCACCCTCCCCACAAAACAGCAGCCAGCTGGATCTGTGGCACTGTGCTCATGCAGCATACTCTAGTGACCTGTGAAGATCCATCCTCCAGGAGGAACTGAGAAAGACCCAGTAAGAAGACCAAGTTGACTGTACTCTTCAGAGCCTGGGTGTGCCAGTGGTGTTCATGACTTGGCTGATGGTCACTGTCTCCTCTTCCTAAATCTTGTTTCCCACCCTTCCTGCTCCATCCCTTTAAAAAGTGTGTGAATGCAACAGTCTTATTCAATATGTCTGTTAGTAAATCATGGAATCACAGAATTGGAATGGTTTGGCTTGGAAGGGTCATTTAAAGGTCATCTAGTTCAACCCCCCTGCAATAAGCAGGGTCTTCTCCAGTTAGATCAGATTGCTCAGGGCCCTGTCCCATCTGATTATGAATGCTTCCAGGAATGGGGCACCTACCACCGAACTGGGCAACTTGTTTCAGTGCTGCACCACCATCATCATAAAAAATCTCTTCCTTATATGTACTCTGAATATACCCTCAATTCAGTTTAAAACCTTTATCCTATTGCAGTAGACCCTGATCGAAGGTCTATACCCATCTTTCTTATAAGCCCCCTGTAAGTATCAAAAGGAAGTGAGAGACAAGTGATTAAAAATTAATGAAATTCAAAGAGGTTATGTATTAACCATCATAAAAATCAAATAGCTTTGTTTTGGCCAGGAGAGGTAGATCCATATCTCAAATCTGCATCTTAATTTTTTAGATTTGCTTATCCTGCTTGCATTTGACTTTTAAGAGAAAGGCATGACAGCTATTTCAGCTGGTGGCACTGGTAATGCATAACCTGTTGCACTGCACTGTGATGGCACTGGGATGAGGAAATGAGGATAAGCCCTGTGAGTGCTCTTACGTGCTACACCCATCAGAATAGGGGTCTGGGCAGAAAACCCTTCCCCCCTGGCTGAAGGCTGTGCTGCTTCTTGCAGTCAGAAATTTAATCCTGCAGAAAGGCAGCTTTGTTGTGCTGAAGAAGGAAGCAAAGAGGGATGTAAAGCTCTTCTACTACTTCTCATCCAGTGCACGCAGAGATCCAGTCTGGACTTGAGGAAATATTTCCCCACCTCAGCTGTGCATATTTGAAATCTTAAAAAACATGTAATTTTCTGTTTCAGATTTCATCATCAGTGCCCTTCTTTAAAAGGAACACCAGGCCAGTAGGTTGGATATACACTTAACCAGAAAAAACATGCACGTGTACAGTGTGTCATTGACTGAATTCAATTAACTTTTAAATGTAAATGAGTAAGTTCAGGAGAAAGGACTTCTTTCTACAACCCCTCATGACAAGAAAGACCTTGAGGTGCTAGAGTGTGTCCAAAGAAAGGCAACAAAGCTGATGAAGGGTCTGGAGCACAAGTCCTATGAGGAACAGCTGAGGGAGCTGGGGTTGTTTAGCCTGGAGAAAAGGAGGCTGAGAGGAGACCTCATCAGTCTCTACAACTACCTGAAAGGAGATTGTAGTGAGGTAGGTTTTGTTGTTTTTTTTTCCTTCTTAAATATATTATCATAGTAGTGTTATTGCCTTCTC